ATATATATATATATATATATATATATGTATATATACGATATACACAAGCCATGTGTAAATATATTTGAATAGGCATGCATAGTTTAGTTCAATTGAATGTTATTTATAACACTATTAGTTTTTTCTTTTAAAAACATAACTATTTATAATGCTTTCTAAATAATAATAGAAACATTACAGTGAAATCAATGAAGATTTTGTAGGTTTTGAACCAAACTAAATAACAGTAAACGTTTTTTTTTATATACGGTAATTTCTTATTTTGATGTTTTGAGCTCCTTTGTGTTTAGAACAATATATACTAATTTTCAAAGTATCAAATTGAATTTTTGTTTAATACAAGTCTTTCAAATGCAACTGTAGCTTTTTTCCCCAAAAACTTTGTCTTCAAAATAAGGGTGCGTCTTATATTCAGAAAAATACGGTAATTTAAAACGCAAAGTTGTCCCTAAGTAAGGATGACGTCACTGTCACGCCATTTTTCTTGAAAATATATCGTAATATCAATTTCCTGACTAACGAATGTGAAAAGTTTATGTTGGTTCAGGTTAATAAACCGACGAAGAATTAATGATAAATGTATAAATAATTTTTTAGTTTAGTGGCACACTAAGGAGGGGGGGGGGGGATCATTATTTGACACATTTTCAAATAGTTGAAACTCAACGGTTGCTAAGAATGTTAGGCGTTATCACTTCATCCATTTATTTTCTGGTTGTCATATTTAAGAGATATCTAGAATGATAATAATTTATCTAATTGTACAATATAATACATTGTATGATAGATTACATCACCTTTAATCCCTTTCCAACAGAAGTAAAAAAATTTGAGTGAATATGGTTATGTTTGAAATGATGAATATATTAAGAGTAAGTGCGTAGCTAAAACTTTTCAATACGTTTCTGATAATACAATTTTTTGGCGTTATTGGTGCATGTTGAGACTAGTGGCCTATTCACACTGTGAATTGGCAATTCAAAGTTAAGTTAGTCAAACATGGGTCACGGTTGCCGGAGACGCCTGTATTGGTGATTTGCCAGGTTATTATAAAAACGGGATCTCGAGAGGCTGAAATATTATTAGTGTTGGAGGAGAACAAAATGACAACGGAGAAACATATTTATGATTACATATTAAATAAAGCCAAGCAAAAAATTAAAAATGGCAGACAACATCCGAGATCTACAGAGGACAAACACGCATAGCAACGATACTTGTATATTTCAAAATTATTTAAACACGCTACATATATCTTACGTGGAAAATAATTTATATATTTTCCCCCAAATTCTCCGTACGGTTGAAAAATAAAACATACAGCAAGTATCATGAACCTGCAAATTTGCGACAAAAAAGAAAAAACCACAAGTTGAATATTTACTTAAGATTCCATCACAAGACAAATCAAGGTCACGAAGTCCTAGCCGTTCTACTTTAGGCAGCAAGTTAGACTAAACTCCGCTGAACTTATACTCTCATCCTAAGGTCACAACGAACTTTGGCGCCAGTTGCCTTTACAACTAAACATTTCAAAGTTCACCTGTCAATGTATTGAAGAACGATGCGATTCAGGAGCTTGTTCGGCATTAAAAGAAAGTACTGGGGCTTTCTCAACATTCTAACAAAACGCTACTGTATTGTTTATTGCGGTACAGCAAAATGGCGTCCCGATGGAAAAATAGTTGAAAGTAATTATTTAACCGAACAGATTTTGTAGCATTTTAAACATTGTGTACATTTAAAAAAAATAATTATTTGTCACTATCTGGTTAAATTTAGGGTATTATATAGCATAACTTAGTGGTCTGTGGAAACCAGCAGAAGAAAAAAAAAAAGGCAAAAGTTAAGTTTAGAAAACATATTTAACGCGTTTAACGAGTTTGAGAGATCATGTCCGTTAAATTGGTAACAATGTAGCCTCATATTAAACACATCAGTAAAATTTTACAACTAACATTGATTTGGTTTGTTGGAAATAAAATAGTCCAGAAGAATCAGAAAGAATTCAAGCTGGACTTTGCAATGAGGAAGATAAGGTTTTCTTGGTGGTTCCTTTGTCTTATGGGTGCGCTTAATGATGAATGACACTGGCACGTTTTGGGTTATTTCTTTTAATAAGCCAAAATATTACACTACCTCACTTGGCTTTTTTTCCCTGTTAACTGAAGCAAATAGCTGAGAAAAGCAAATCTGCCAACTGGTTGATGTGTAGAAATCATTCAGAATTACCAGCCCCTTATCATTTTCATATGGATAACTTTCACTAAAACTATGTTTTATTTTGTGATCTTTTGTCGCTTTTAAATATAGTTTTGGTAACTAATTATCTAAAACTAGCAGATGCTTACTAAAATAATTCAACGTAGTTTTCCTACAAATAGTGATGAATAAAAATGAAATGTGCTGTCAACCTAGTCCTTTGGATCAGTGCGTATATGCAATATGATTGTCTAGTGGACCTTTTACAATCATCTTTTATCATTTCGAACATTCAATTCGAAAATAAACTATGAATGTATTTTTTATCTGGCTGACTCAACTGAAGCAGTTTCTGTGTCACATTACAATTCACGATACCAATTTCCAGTAGCTGTACATCAGATGGGGATTCGGGGGAGGGGAGGCGAACGACTCCACCTAATATTCTAAAAAAAAAAGCTAAAAGGGCCACAATCTGTTTTATTTATTGTTTTTTAAATACACATTTGACTGTCACGTAAATCACAAATTCTTTGTGTAGAAAAAATGTTCCCTCCCCCCCTTTAAAAATAGAATCCTCTCACTCTTAAGTGCTGACTACACCCCTGATTATTAAGTCTGTTACTGGGGTAGGCAACGTGTGGTTCTGAACATATTTAAGATACTTTTGAAAATATGGTTCAAAACCCCAGGAACGTCCCTACTACTTAATCATGAATGAATGATTGTAGGAAAAATGCTTAACTATACAGTTAAAACTGTAAAGTTCCATCTTGAACAAAAGAAACTTGTACTTTTTATCTTCGTTCTTTAACCGAATGTGTGGTTTAAAAATGAAGAAGAGAGGGGGTGACTGCAATATACGAGTAAAAGTTTCAACTATATGGCATTTTTTAAATTTATTTCTTTTTGTCATTATTAATATTGTAGAGGAAGAGATGAGGAAACTGTACCTTGAAATATAGAATGTTCAAAGAAAGAACTATCGAGTTCCTGAGAATTATCAGTTCTGGTTGTGTTTCAGAATCGCTCTTCAGCCTTTTCCTACTAACTCTTCCTTTGTACTTCCGCACATAATGGATGTGGAGGATATCAGTGACATACACCCTTTT